ACTAATAATGTTACTACTTGTACTACTTTGGGATTTGGCCTGACAATTTCCTCTCTCTGTGCTAATGGGGCATGTCGAATTGAATCAACGTACCTATTTACAGGTTCTATATTGTAACCGACTAATAAGAGGTTGATGCAATACTCATTCCATAGATTTTACAACTATGCAATATAGAGATATTAGTCCATAAATAGGTGTAAACACTTATTATTTTTCACTCAGGCAGTTGATTGAAGGTTGGAAATCTGGACAACACTTTTGAGAAAACTAGACTGGTTGCAAACCCGTATGTGGATCCGCAGACCGAAATTTTGTCCTCTACTGGGTTGTGAGTTAGACATGTCTAATGAATCCCAATCATATGCATATTTCTTGACCTTAAGGTAGTATTCAACTCAGTACATCGATAAATTTTATGGTTGTCTGTCATTGAAAGGAGCACCAAAGAAATGTATTAACTTTGTACAGGCTCTCTACTCTAACACTGCTGGTCAATTTATGGCGAAACGTTATCGGGATTGATAACTTCAAGCGATTTATGTCAGGGTTCGGTTTTTCCATCATTTTTAACTTTATTGTATACATTTGTTTACAGATAAGGCTCCAATTACCTGACTTTTTAAATGTTGATCTACTAGGAGACCCACTAATTGACGCTACTTACTTTACTTACGTCTATTACCTCTTGTGGAGCATAGGCCGCACTATTTAACACAGTACACAAATGACATTGTTCTGTCCAGGGAGGACTCTAACGACCTGCAGTCTTCTAATCACCTTGATCAACATTTATTTATTTGAACATATAAATATTGGTACAAAGAGGCACCAAATATATATGCGCCATACAATAACAATGAGAATGAGAGATAGAGAATGTAAATTGCGTATAAGAAAAAAGGAGAACAATAACGAACAGAAATTAGTTTATGATAGTGAAATAATAATAGTGGGAAAAGCAGTTCAGTTAGCAGAAGTACAACCAGAAAAATTCTTCCAGTTAAAGAAGTTACGTCCATTTTTTATGAAGCAAAAGAAAATTATAGCAGGATCGCCACTGGCCTCTATTTTGAGTTATATCGGTTAACGTCTTAAGCCACCATCTCTAGAACCCCAACCAGGGAGTCGTGATGGACCAAGAGAAGGCAGTCCTGTACAGCTTTCTTTCATACCGCGACACCATATCATACACTGACCACCTCTCCCCTTTTTCCAACCAGTCCCAGCGTCGGCAAATAATGCACGGGGACGACAGTATCACAGCCCACACACAAACAAGTGACTTGTGACTGGTATTCGGTGCTCCTTTGTACTAATATTTGTGTTCAAATAAATAAATAAAAACAGGGTCCTGCTAGTCTTGTCAAAGTATTTTGCACTTGGAAGGTGCAAAACACATACCATACTTACAGACACTAATTGTCAACTGATAAAGGGCAGATTGCATGACTTTGGTATTATTGCGCAGTAAAATAATATCACCTGCATACTCAAGGTCGAGAATTTCTCCAGGCAACAGACCTACGCCACCATTCCCTACATCCATCAGAGCCGTTTCCAGAACATCATTGTTAGCAAAGTTGGAGAGGAATGGTGAGATAGGGAAACCCTGTCTAAACCCAAAGCTTGAATGGAACAATGGAGAGAGGTGGTTGTATGCCCTCACTTTGGCTGATGTGTTTGTATATCGGGTTTATAAAATGTTAATAAACTTCTCAGGCACACCGTTCTTCAATAGACAATCCCAGAGGACAGTCCTGTATAACGAAGCGAAAGCAGCGGTAGCTGATGGCGATGTGATCAACCGGAGTCCGTGGTTGAGATGCAGAGGGAGGACACAAGGCGGCACGTCGGCGATGACTGTGCCGGTAGTTAGTGCTAGCCAGAAGCAGGTTGTGGTCTGCGCACGTTTGCAATAAACGGTCCCTCTTATCTAACCTGCGACCAACAAGTCCTCATCGGTCACTTGGACGACTCTCTTCTATGGAAGCATGTTTGTGTCGGGATGCTTTTCTTTACTGTCACGTTCACTCATCCACAGCGTGCTACTAAGATCTGTCATCATAATCTATTCTGTGATGGTTCCTATGTGATATTGCTTCTACTGGACCGACCCTATGTTATGGAGATATCACAGTATATAAAAGATTTTCAGTATGTCCAGTAGAGTGTATGACGATTGGGTCAGAAATTGCCCTTCGAATTCGATTTCTTTAGTTATTTTTGTTTTAACTACTGTGGATGTTGAAATCTTCCACCAATATGATATAAGAAACGTGCTTTTTGAGAATCCGTTGGGTGAGTTTTATCAATTAATGGTTTAGTTTTCGAGCGTCCCGCAATTTTATATAAAACGACTATCAGAAAAGAACCTTTATCGCTCTTTAGAATCCATTACAGTACATCTCTAATGCTTAACCTACGTATCCATACTTGATGTTGTTTTTAGTTTACCTGTGCTTATTTTTACGAATTCTAACACCGTGTTGTAAATATTTTAATTAATTACTTCAACAGGTGCTTGATTGTGAACGATATTCTAAATGTGATAAATAATTTTGCTACTCGGGTTCCCAAAGCGAAGTAGTTAAAGCTAGACTCGAATCTGAATTTTTGTTGTTAAACGTCACTAAGCCGCCTGTTCTGGTAAACTGTCAAACTCAAACAAACTTGGAAAGTCACAGTCACCGTTCTTAGAAAACTGCACGTTTCTTGTATTGCTTACTCACTGGTTCATTCGTAGCTGCCAGTGTATGGTTTCAGATGGTTTTGTAAATTTCTATAGCATAAGCAACACTCCAAATCAAGATATAAACTAACTTTCACAGAAGTGAATCGTCAAGAGTAATAAAGACATTAAATATGGAGTTATATTCATAATAATCTCAGCGATTGAAGTCTCAATAGTTCTATCGTTAACTACCATTCAGTCAACAACTCATTAGGTGTCTTCAAACCATCATGAAACGAATTATGCAATCATATCCATGAGTTCAAATATAAGATCTAATTCCCAGTAAAATAAGTTTTATAACTATAATTTATTTGAGTTCAAGACACGATATTTTTCACATCTGACTAACTCAAACTCTTGTTAAACTCATTTCATTTATCCGTAAAGTGCTAAATGGATTTAAGATCATGTTACCATTCAAAGTCCCGATCGAAGCTGCTACCTTGACGCGGTGGTCGGGCTTGCCTATCGTGATGACCCAACCGAGCTATATTGGCTGGAACATATGTTCCTGCAGGTTCTACCATGCCAGGCAGGTCGATTGGCGAACGGTAAGACTAAAAGCAGCAACTCAAGGTCTGAGGGCGAAGTCGTACTGCTGACTGTAGAGAGGTGTGACAGCAGTAAGGTGTTTCCCTCGGACAACCAGCATGACAGCGATGCTGCCTTCCCACAAGGAGGGGTGGGGTTAGAAAAGGTCGACCCTAAAAATGCACACCTCACCTTACCTCACGGATTTCCGTCTCCGGCGGTAAGGCCCCTTGAAGAACGGAGCTAACACGTCAAAAACCTTCCACAAAAAGGCCGTGCGCGACCGGCCTCAAGCAGTTGTCCCTTGGGCTCTGCGGTCACGCTCCCAGGTCGTCAAGACCAACACTAATCCAATTTCCTTTTCAGGTTCATCAAGAAATACCCTTCCACGGTGTGGGCAGCCGGGAAGTGACATCAGCCCTCATACCCGTAACAGCACAAGAGACCAAGGTGGTCACATTCAAATCCTTCCTACACCTCCTAATACCTCTCTTATCCTCCCGACTAACCCTCCTCACGTCTCTTTATCACCTCGCACCGCTAGGGCAAACGATTCGAGTACGTGGAACGCCATTCCTGGTCTCCTGAAACCACGCTCTAAACTACACGTAGGAGCTTTTAACGTACGAACACTTTGCCAAATAGGACAGCAGGCTTCCTTAGCTAAAACTTTAGAATCTCGCGCCATCGATGTGTGCTGCGTCTCCGAAACGCGCATACAGGATGACGTAGTGAAACTTCATCAGTTGAGATGGCTGGGACACGTGTTACGTATGCCCAACGACCGACTGCCTCGACGTGCTATGTTCAGTGGTATAGGAGTAGGTTGGCAGAAAGCTAGGGGCGGCCAGACCAAAACATGTCACAAGTCCATGAAGTCACTGACAAGTGGACTGAGTCATGTTGGTAGGTGTAGACTACCTGGTTGGGGACCGCGAGATGATAGCAACCGATGGTTAGAGACCCTGAATGACATGGCTCAAAATCGTTTGCAATGGCGCAGGTGCATCCACTCTCTGTGTTCTCCCAAATTCTAATCTTCTGAATTCTTCATGTCCCTTTTTTTTCCTCTTTCCAAATTTCTTTCACTGGATTATACTCTTTAAATAACATCTCCAAACCCTAATCTTCCCGATTACTGCTTATACTCTTATTACCTCTTCCACTACGGGATTTGAATCGACAAGTGCATCTCTGTGCTAATGTGGTGTGGCAACTCGAACTGATGTACGTACGTACGAAGTTCTACGTTGTTGATATTCCTTATTCCTACCATTCAAAGTTGACAGATTTTCTGTTAGTCATCGACTTTTAAGTATTCATTTACTGACCCTAAATGCATACAAAACGAAAGCGGTTATGGAAACATGTAATCAGTACGTGTGAAATGGTAATCATTGTAAGAAGATAGAAATTCTATTTCATGGTTTATTAAGGGTATTTACATTACAAATGTCGCTTTACATTGTGGTTTACCTTGAAGTCGGAAACAACATAACAGCAATAAAAGAACTTGCAACCATATTAGGTGATCCCAAGTTTTACGAACAAAAAAGTAGTAAGAATGAATTGTCTCAATTTAGTCAACCAAAACTAAGCGGTTACATTTTCTAAACAAGGCTGTTAAAACACTTAGATAGTGTTATACAAAAGTCAGTTTTATATTTTTAAAATCTAACTTTTTCAAATATTGAGTTTTCAGTTTAACAGTTCTACATCTTTTAGTTTCAGAATGAACAATGTTAACAGCGAGGACCCCACCCGTCAGGTTTATTCAGAATTAGGAAACTTTATCCCGACTGGATATCAGGAAAATTATGATTGTGAATTATCACAAAGCACCGTTGCTGCTGGCAGTTGTGGTGTTGGGAATCATTTGCCTATTTTTCAAAATATGTTGAGTCAAGTCGATGAAAAACCGAAAATACTATTGATGGGTTTAAGAAGGTTTTATTCCCTTATGTTAATATGTTGACCTATTATTTATAGAAGTGGTAAATCATCAATTCAACGGGTTGTTTTTCACAAAATGGCACCAAACGAAACATTGTTTTTGGAAAGTACCCACAAAATTGAAAAGAATGGTAGCATTTTTTATGATTTTTTTAAAGGTATAACTTTTCAGACGTATCTGAATGCTCCTTTATCAAATTTCAAATATGGGATTTTCCTGGTCACATTGATTTTTGTGATGAGACCTTTCAATCTGAAGCTATATTTTTAGCTTCTTGTGCTATAATTTTCATTATCGATGCTCAGGTAAAGTATTAACTAAATGTGTATTGTATTTTGTTTGGCTTTTAATATTATTCTGTGAATTTGAAGCTACTACTAACAGCGCGAGTCCGTTATTATACACTAGTGGACTTTGGTTTTGTTAAAGTGTCTCCTTTTGTAGCGGGTAATTCAAATAAATAAGCTAAGCCAATTAAAGCAATGTTTATATAGGCTTGTAATTCCACGTCATCGAATGGATAACGTCGGTTTTCTTCACTAAGCATACTCAATGAACTGTATTTTTAGAGATCCTTGACATCTGTTACAAAGGTTCAAAAGGCAACTTTTAAAACACGTTCTTAAACTTTGATTTATAGTGTGAGCACATGTTCGTTTGTGACAGGCATTATAAAGCTTAACACGAAATTACAACTATGAGTAAGAATTGAATAGAGACAATAAATAAGGATCAGAATATTCATCTTTCTATGATATTGTCGGATTTACATTCTAATGTAAAAACAAAGGTGATGGTCGTGGATAATATAACGTTAGTATCTAGGATAGGTTTGAAATTTTCAGAAGTCTCTGGTAAATTAAAAGATTCTGGAAGCGTTTGTAGATATGAAACAAGAACCAAAATAGTGTGATCTCTTGTACCATAACGTTTATGGGGCTATAGATCAACCACATTCGGGATCACTATTGGCCATCAACGAAAAATCGATGATGAGTTTTATATATTCTGTATTTTTGATAGAATTCAATTTCTGTGTCATTAAGAATGCATTACAACAAATGCTTGAATTAAATCAACAACATGCAAAGCGAGAACTAGCTGCTTTGCTGACTCACCAACTGTTAGCAGGACATAAACTAGATTAAAGCATGCTCAATGCATGATTGCTTTGGTGCACGCTGATTGGCTAATTCTTATCCAATCAGCACTAGTCGATAGTTGGAGAATACTCTGGAATCTTCTTATGTAAAAACTATAAATATATTGACGTTTTCCCTATTGTGCTTCTGACTTGCTTCTCGCTTCCATCTAACCTTGTTATTTGGAATATAATCTCTTTCCTATTCAACCGTGTTCTGATTTGGGGTCTTGTCGAGTGAATCGGTGTCCGAGAATACTAAGCAATAGGAATAGCTGGGTCATTACCGTAAGAAGAAAACAGAGTTATAACACCAACCGTCTTCAGATCCTATACCAGAAGATGAAGAGCCAGTAAACGAACTTGATTCGAGTGGAAAGGATGAAGATGGACAGGAAGTTAGTGATGGAGAACCACAATATAAAAATAGAGATGTAAGAAGAGAATAGTAGAATCTTGTAATGTACATATACATTGGTCATCATTATAGTTTACTTCCATCAAAGGTGACTTTTTGCTACCTTGTACACATATGTAAATGATTTGCGTATATATGACACATGCAAAATCCTACATGAATTTCTTGTCCGTTCATTTTTATTCGAAGCTGTTATCATTGTGTTCTGGATACAGTGTGCTTCCTAGTTTATTTTTTTTTGCAAAACCTCCTGCTTATATTTTATTGATCATCAACTCATCCCAACTTGACGATTTGATATTTTACTTTTCTGCTTTATAAGAATAAAGAGACATACATATAAGTTAATAATAATTTGTTCTGAATACAGTGTAATATATTCTAATATTTTCAATTTGTAATGAGTATGAAAATTGTTTTTATCAGTGCAATAGGTGTTGTCAGGGTCAGTTGAAGTTCATGCAGTACAAACCAGTTTTGTGTTATTTTCAGTAATCTTTAGAAGTTATTGTATTAACGACAGATATTACCAATACTGTATATATATCTGTGGTGAGATGACTGCGGTCGTCGTAATAGATTATAATTGAATACTTGATAAAATGCATATGATTCAGTTTCCTCGGTTTTTAATTGCTAGTCATATGTCAAATATTTATATTATTGATCGTTACTTTAATTCTGTAGGATGATTATCATGCGGCTTTAACCCGCCTACATGCTACTTTAGAATCAGCGTTCCGTTTTAATATGAATATTAAATTTGAAGTATTTATTCATAAAGTTGATTGTTTATCAGATGATCAAAAAATGGATATACAACGAGATATTACTCAACATGTAACAAGTGTCTTAGAGGATTTATTGTGCGAACAACCGTCGAATGCTGGAATTAGTATAGGGTAAGTGTAAGCTTAATGTTAATACTATTTATAGATTATTAGTTTAATCACTATCTCTAAAATATTTCGTTAATCACATCGAGCTCAAAGACTAATACTAACATAACTTTTTCGGAATGGTTCGGGTAGTTGATTCCTGCTCAATAGTGGTCTCAAAGTTAAATCTTTCTTGCCGAATAAACTTTTAGATATTCGGACCTTATTGCTGTAGTTGGCAAAATCAGTTGCCACTGTAAACATCACAAAAGGGTATGGATTACATATATGTAAGTGCAAAAACTAAAACTGTATTCTCCTATATTCTAGCACTGATTTGCTTATCTCATACTCACTCGACTCATTATCACTCACTATATGGAAAGACTAAATTATTTGTTACAACTGCTAATGACTAGATCGAAATGTGAGAAATTATAATTCAGGAATGAGCATGACAGAATGTGCGACAGTCTAGAATGTAAAGTGATTCAGTTCTGCTTATTGATTGTCTTTACAAGTAGATTGTGTATTAGATACAGAGCAACGGTAACGGTAACTAAACAATGCAAGTTGGGAATATATGTTTGTTGGGATATTCAGAAAAATATCTCAAAAGTTATTCTGTTAAGTCTAACGCTATCCTTAGACTTGAGATGGTATCATTTTCCTGTTGGTCGATACTTATTTCACGTGTTATTTTCCTGTTGGCCAAATATTGTACAGATGTTATTTTCTATTTTATGGTACGATGTGGTCTGCTTGATTGGTATATAAACAGAGTATGTATGTATGAAATGTAACAATTCATATCTCAGAGGCTGAGACTTGCGTTCTGGACTAAACTGGCTGGGCTAGACATGAAAGCAGGACTCTAGGTTGTTCTCACGTGTTTTACGCGTCTTTGGTCCGGTCGATAATACGCTGCTCTCCAATCTGCAGTCACAGTTATAACAATGTTCGTCGTATTAATTTTTTCAGTATTTTATTGAGAAGATATTCAAAGCTCTCGACACCAATCCTAATGATTTTTATCTATCAAATATTTGGTAATAAATTTATTTACTTGATAGAGCTTTGTGTAAAATCACTGGTTCGACAAGCATTTCGCAAAGATTGTTACTCATGTGTATCAGAGAGTTTCTATGTCAGGTAGGTGATACGCTGATCGAATCTCGCCTATTAGCTAGCTGACTTATAGAGTAAAGGAATATAGTATCTGTCTGAATATGATATGCAGCAATTATTGTGTAACAAAGGAATGTCCCATGGAAATTGGTTGTTGTTTTTTGTGGAGTCGGGTACTGATGCCCATTCTTCTTATACATGATCACAACCGTCTACGTGTGTGCCTCATTGCTAGGAAGTGAATGGGATTTCTTTGCCAATGATATATTCTATATATACTTTTTATGAACCGGATGTTGGACCAAGCCATTCTTCTTTTTATTTTAATGTCAAGAAAATGGTACTTGTTCCATAGTAAAGTGAATGTTTTTATGGGCTTCTTTGAAAAGTTTCAGCAGATTTTGTTTCATGTTTCTGATTATTACACGCAATCACGTTGTCATTAACTTACTTCTAATAATACACATTTCATCAATTTCTCCGAACTTGGTTCTTCCTACATTAGGCATGAAAATATCTGCTAGGACAGGACCTAAAAGACTTCCCGCTGCTACACAATCAGCTTGTCGGTATATGACATTCTTGAACTGAAACTGAATATCTTTTGTACATATGATTAACAGTCGGTTGAGTTTGATGCTGGTAGGGGTAGGATACCAGAACACTAGCAAATTATGTCTATACTTTCAAGAAGTGGTATTTTAGTTAACAGTAATGTTACATCAATGGAAATCATATTTATATAATCCATACTATCGGCAAATTCAATTGGATCTTTTGGTTTATACGCGACTAGTCGTTGACGGACTACTTTTAACTTATCCGCTAGCCAACGTGCAACGTTTTGATAAGTTGAATTCACTATTGACATAATAAATCTGAGAGGAACATCTTGTTTATTTGTTTTTGGTAAAACATATATGTGAGACAAATGAGACTCACAAGGTCGTAGGTTATTGTAAATGAAATGATCAATTATTAGAAGATCATTGAGTACATTATTGAATTGTTCAAGATAAATTTGAATCTTATTCTAAACTACACTATGTTAAAGGTAATCTTTTTTTTTTAATTTTTTTTTTAATAAAAAAAAATTAAACCAGATTTCATTTAACTACAATATATGATCATTCAATTTTTGAAGCATTCAGTAAAGTAGTACAAAAATTAATTCCTTACTTGGAAGCATTTGAACATTTATTAAATATATTTATTACAGTGAGTTTCCTTTTTTTTTGTTTTCTTAATCATTACAAATAAATTTATTCATTATATCTTGCTTTGTGTTTTATTATTTAATTTTTAACTCATTTTAAGTATTTAAAAGTAACTTTCTTCTCTAGAAGGTAAAATCAACTTGAAGATTGAATAGATCCTTTTGTAAACAAAACTTATCCTCAATTAACTAATACATACTAGTTCATATCTCTCTTTCTGTATTTCAAAGAACATCTTTCTATAAATAGTAATGAATTTGAATTTCTTATTTAGTCATATGCTTATTTACTACAGGATTTTGGACTATAACTTTTAGAGAATGGTTGTCGATATCGTCGAACCTCTAAGACAAGAATCAGTTAATTGCAATTCATAAAACAAAACCTAATGATCGTGAAATTTGACTGATCCAGTCACTATTCCGTTACACAGATCACTTGATCAGTACATGTTCATAACATTTGGTTATCGGAATGTATTATGCATTAAAAACATTTCAGGATTATCCCTAAGATTTTAAAGTGATCACATACGAAAACTAATAACTTTTGTTGATAGTTGAGTTAATTCAGACACTAAAGTGAAATCAATTCATGTAATTTGCTGTGACAAAGTTATTTTCTTAGTCTTTAAAATACAATGATTAATAGAAAGTTTTCATTGCAAAAAGTACAATAAATATGTTTATCGAAACATTTTATGTTTTCAGTAAGTAGTGTCCTATACTGATACTGAAACTCAATCTTCTTGTATACACACTCAAGCAACTACTGGAGTGAAAAGACTAAGAATAAGGAAAAAGCTTTTTCAACCAAACCTAATCGGTATATATATATATATATATATATATATATATATATATATATATATAATACTCAGTTGTCAGTTTACTCATTCATTGGTCTAAACTGTATTCTCATAGGATATGTTTACATTTTAGTTTTATTAAAATAAGTCATCGGTAGTAATCAAAGTAAAGTTTAAGTCGGAACTCAGTAGTTAAAAATCACAAAAAAGCCGAATTCTCGGTAGCAGTAATTATAGTAGAATATTATAATCCTCAGGTGTTTCAAAACAAAGTCGAAGACACTCAAATGGGTCTCATGCTATCCTAGCTCAATGAGCAGACAGTCGTTACCAACTGCTGTAGTTGTTCTCAGACATCCGTTTATTCTTGACAATGACTAACTTTAAGCGCAAAAAGGAGCATCATCCTACATGAAAACCCCCACAATAAACTCAACGGTGATTGCAAGCTGACCGCATTAGCCATCGTGAGAGGGGCTAAATAAAAGATCACCGCTCATTTCTGAGCACATATCTGGACTCTGTTCATGCCCTAATATAAACATGTATTTATGTCTTGTTCTATGCAAAAAAAGACGACAAAATTTCAAGAGTGTATCTATGGAACAAATAGAAGAGCAGTTAGTCGATTGTCAGCAACATCCACCTGGATATGGGTTGGCATGGCATACAGCAGTCATGATAAAAGCGATACGATCTGTAATAGACTAAAATCAAAACGTTAGTGAAAGTCTGCAACGTCTACTGAGCTGATAGACGTTTTTGAGTCTCATCAGTCTTGATGGGTTGGTGATTAGCACAATTGGGCCACGGATTCAACAAGCTTCATTGGCTTTTGGCAACTTGCATTACTTTTGACGTGACATACAAACATAGGATGAGTATACTGTGCAGCAGTCTGTTCTACATTACGGCTGTTAATCGTGGCCTTTAAGAATAGAGAGTATTTTGAGGTTGCTAGTTTTTGTTTGTAAATACCCTCATAGGATTGCTCATAAAATTGGGGACTATGAAATTAGCGATTCTGAGGTTATGCACAGAGTAATAAGCAAAAATGGCAAATCGACTAATGAGTTAGTGAATCTCTATTGTCTGAAATGGTTAGGACATGTTTTGATGTATGCCCATCTACCACCTCACTCGATGCTCAATGATGTTTGGTGTACGAGTAGATTTTAAGAATGCTAGGTGCAGACAAACCAGAATACTTTTTACTTCATGTTGCACGCTTCTGATGATTTTGTGTGTGCTAGACTTTACTGAAGACCATTGTTTTCTCAGTCAGTCACAACGTAAAACATGTACGTATGTAGATCGGTTCAAGTTGGCATAACCGAAATGCTTTGCAAGTTGAACATGTTACTTGCAGCGAGCACACCGAACCATGGACTCAACGAAGCCATCCTTAAGGATAGGATTTCCTCAGTGATTAACGTCATTACAGTCACGTTCACTCATCCACAGCGTGCTACTAAGATCTGTCATCATAATCTATTCTGTGATGGTTCCTATGTGATATTGCTTCTACTGGACCGACCCTATGTTATGGAGATATCACAGTATATAAAAGATTTTCAGTATATCCAGTAGAGTGTATGACGATTGGGTCAGAAATTGCCTTTCGAATTCGATTTTTGTAGTTATTTTTGTTTAAAAGACTGTGGATGTTGAAATCTTCCACCAATATTATATAAGAAACGTGCTTTTTGAGAATCCGTTGGGTGAGTTTTATCAATTAATGGTTTAGTTTTCGAGTGTCCTGCAATTTTATATAAAACGATTATCAGGAAAGGCCCTTTAATGCTCCTTAGGATGCATTACAAACGGGTCTGAAAATTTTTGTAGCATAAGCAACATCAAAATTCCATTTTTTTACTTTTGTCGTGCTTGTTGTCGTGTGTAATGCGATTCCTAATATTATCTGGCATTTGATTTTTTCGCGTATATTTTTCAAATCTTTATTTTTTTCATCATGTTTTCTTTCTTGTTTTACAGAATTCAATGGTGGACAAAGCATTTCTTTTTGATGTCACCAGTAAAATATATCTAGCAACAGATTCAAATGCAGTAGACATGCAGACGTATGAATTATGCTGCGATATGATTGATGTTGTCGTAGATGTGGCAGCAATCTACACGTAGGCTAGTAGTTAATGTGAAAACTATTTTCCCTATATACTTTTATTTTCAGAAATCTTCAGTGATTTTACATCATAAACTTTAAAAGCTTTATTGCTCCAGAAACAATAAGAGTATCGAAATCAACATGTCTACCGGACATCGATTTAACATAAACCCCTTCATGACGTTGAAATTACCATCTGAAATTATGCTGATAATTTTCCAGCACAATGCCTGGTCATGCAACATAAGTTATCATCTAATTTTGCTGTACCGTTGTTCAGCTAGCTACAGGTGATATGATAGTACGTACTGTATACCATCATAGATAGGTATATATGATAGATACCACTATTTTGTAACTGGTTATCCAATCTCTGGTTTCTCGTGGTATATTTGTATTTTCCACTCATCTGGCAGCACGTATGCAAGTAACATTTCAGGTTCAATAATGTCAGTCAGTCGTACGCAGCGTTGAACCTAGTACATGTAAGTATCAGTTCAAGTTGTACTACCCCTTTAGCACAACCAGATAAAGTTTTCAGGGCGAATCTCAGCTGACTAGATGTGGGAATTTTAGTAGTGGTGGTCGAAAAGATTAGACATCGAAGATACAGTTGGAGAAGAAAATATAAATTAGTGGTTTGAAACGAAATTATGGGGAAACAAGAAAATTAGGATGAAAGATATGACAAACAATAAATGCTTCTGCGCGATTGCGAAGAATTTTCAGATATCTAGACTATGTCTCCAACTGTTGGCTATGATATTCATGCGCAACCCGACCAGTTTGATCATACCTACATGGCTCAATCTAACAGTCAGTGTTCACTCATCCCTAATTTTCTTTAAATTAATCGTAAACCAGCTCAACTGTTAAGGCTCTATTTTGGACTGTTCTTCGAATTCAAAAGGCAATTTCTGACCCAATCGTCATACACTCTACTGGACATACTGAAAATCTTTTATATACTGTGATATCTCCATAACATAGGGTCGGTCCAGTAGAAGCAATATCACATAGGAACCATCACAGAATAGATTATGATGACAGATCTTAGTAGCACGCTGTGGATGAGTGAACGTGACTGTAATGACGTTAATCACTGAGGAAATCCTATCCTTAAGGATGGCTTCGTTGAGTCCATGGTTCGGTGTGCTCGCTGCAAGTAACATGTTCAACTTGCAAAGCATTTCGGTTATGCCAACTTGAACCGATCTACATACGTACATGTTTTACGTTGTGACTGACTGAGAAAACAATGGTCTTCAGTAAAGTCTAGCACACACAAAATCATCAGAAGCGTGCAACATGAAGTAAAAAGTATTCTGGTTTGTCTGCACCTAGCATTCTTAAAATCTACTCGTACACCAAACATCATTGAGCATCGAGTGAGGTGGTAGATGGGCATACATCAAAACATGTCCTAACCATTTCAGACAATAAAGGTTCGCTACCTCATTTATCAGTTCGGTAGATGCTTCTGAAATTCATTTGTTTTCCTTGACATTTTGATTATAGATTGCCACAGGCCCTACCGCTGTCTCAACGACTGTCTGGATATCTTGCCAACCCACGTTCGGGTGGACGTTACTGGTGATTGGTTAACTGGAAGGACGATCGCAGACCTCAGTGGGGAACTTCTTAAGGATAGATGCGCACGTCTGAAGGACGTTTTTGATATCTCAGCCCGGTTTTTCAAAAAACCTCACCACTGTATATAAACCCATAGGGTAAAATGAGGTGTCTGCTTTTTACGGTCGACCGTTTCTAACTTCTTCCTTCCGTTGTTAGGAGGCAACACCGCTGCACTTTGATTTGTGATATTAAGTTCATACGAAATTGTCTAATCTGTTTTTGTATGGTAAAGGAAATCGTGAACTGAATCTTCGCTTATCTTCTTTAAATTGTCAAGTGATTGTTCTACCAAGTTAAGTACTTCGAACTTTTACTGCGTGGATTTTGACCAACTTCCGGTATATCATTTGCGCCAATGTCGTCTTTCTGTCCTGCTCATTTAGCCAATATGTTTGATTTGAGATATTCTTTCATTGGATATCCAATACTTCTGGACAGTTTGTCACAAATGCGTATGAGTTCCACAAGTACTCCAGTTTCATACTTCTCATGGAAAGTCAAATGGATGGTGTTATTAGACTTCAGTCCTTTCTTGTCAACCCACTCATTCCCTATCACTAATCCCGGTATATATCTCAAGACAAAAAACAAGTGCGTTTTGTGTTAGGCATATGTAATTCCCGAAGTTACTTCACCTCTGTTAACTTCATTCTAAAAGATACCTTCTCATCTTTGTTTGCAGTCCCCAATCTAATTTTGTTGATCCGCCTGTATCTGAGCAAACTGGGGCAACAATTATCTTAAACAATGACAGAGCATTATATCTTCGTGGTGTCAATCAGTATATGGCTCTAGCTTGTTTGATGTATGAAGAATCTTTAGAGAAAATGGGTAAACGATTGTTTCGTCTGTCTTTCTAGTCATTATTCTTAAAACATTAATTATAGTATGTATATTAGGTACAAAATATAAAATAACTTATTCACTTTCACATGTTGTAAACATTTGCATTCTAACTATGCTTATGTGACTCAATACTTCATCGTTCAATAAGAAAACCATTGTACCACAATTTGTGTTGTAGCGAGTGAGTAAATAACAAGCTCAACTCTTAAAAAACCGGCAATTCGTCAACTCAAATTAAAGCACCTTACAAATCACTGTATAACACCTAATAAAGATCCCCTCTTCCCTACCGTTTACAAATTAATGACCAGATATCTTTCTCGACTACGTCCGATGTTTTGCCAGTTTTCAAACATTTTCAGAACCAACTCAAATGAAAAAGCTCCTTTTATAAACAAATAATAGGTATTTTGCTCCTGTTTTTATAATGGTTGATCGATACAATGTCTAGTAAGTGGCAAGCATCATCCCTCCCTAACTTGTGTATGAGTACACATGTAAGCCGGTGGACTTTATCGTTTTCGCAATAATTATGCAGGGGTATCTGTTTTTTGGAAGTTTGAAATAATAGAATGATCGAAAAACACGATGAGCTTTAAAACTTCGAAAGTAGAGTTGGTTTATACTCTGTCAAACAACTACCACGCATTACATTCTGAAGTAAACTATTCAATGACTCTTGTTATAACAAATTAGTTTCTAGGATTTGCCTATTTTTATACGTTTGTAGGTTTAATAGAATTCAATTTCTGTGTCATTAAGAATGCATTACAACAAATGCTTGAATTAAATCAACAACATGCAAAGCGAGAACTAGCTGCTTTGCTGACTCACCAACCGTCTTCAGATCCTATACCAGAAGATGAAGAGCCAGTAAACGAACTTGATTCGAGTGGAAAGGATGAAGATGGACAGGAAGTTAGTGATGGAGAACCACAATATAAAAATAGAGATGTAAGAAGAGAATAGTAGAATCTTGTAATGTACATATATATTGGTCATCATTATAGTTTACTTCCATCAAAGGTGACTTTTTGCTACCTTGTACACATATGTAAATGATTTGCGTATATATGACACATGCAAAATCCTACATGAATTTCTTGTCCGTTCATTTTCATTCGAAGCTGTTATCATTGTGTTCTGGATACAGTGTGCTTCCTAGTTTATTTTTTTTTGCAAAACCTCCTGCTTATATTTTATTGATCATCAACTCATCCCAACTTGACGATTTGATATTTTACTTTTCTGCTTTATAAGAATAAAGAGACATACATATAAGTTAATAATAATTTGTTCTGAATACAGTGTAATATATTCTAATATTTTCAATTTGTAATGAGTATGAAAATTGTTTTTATCAGTGCAATAGGTGTTGTCAGGGTCAGTTGAAGTTCATGCAGTACAAACCAGTTTTGTGTTATTTTCAGTAATCTTTAGAAGTTATTGTATTAACGACAGATATTACCAATACTGTATATATATCTGTGGTGAGATGACTGCGGTCGTCGTAATAGACTATAACTTGTCGCATAGTTAAACTTTAAGATATTCAGACCGTATTGCTGTAGTTGGCAAAGTCAGTTGCCACTGTAAACACCAAATATATATGGGTGCAAAAAATAAAATTGTATTATACTGCCGAGTCTATTGCGATCAGACAACTATTAGTTCGACTCCGAAAATTAATGTCAGTTAATATTTACTTGGTGAACAGATTTGTAGAGGCTACTGTCGTATATCATTTTAGTTTTGTCCTAACTGGAGTTACCAACAGTTTAGCTAATTATGCAAAACAAGATATATACATCTTGAAGTAAGGCATTTTTTCAACTTGCATATCTGTCATGGTCCCTTCCGATTTTTAATGCACTAAGACTTCGACGGTATAATATGAAAGTATACATTTCGTTTCGTGTTTACTTGTAAACGAAATAGTTATTGCTAATGATATGTTTGCGAAATGACTTCGTAACTTTTTAGGCGTTCGTTTTTTGAAGACTGATCTTTGATGATTCAGTTAGAAACTAATGAGTGTGTGTTTCTGGTAATATATCACTGAAATATTCTCATATATTCTAGCACTGATTTGCTTATCTCATACTCACTCGACTCATTATCACTCACTATATGGAAAGACTAAATTATTTGTTACAACTGCTAATGACCAGATCGAAATGTGAGAAATTATAATTCAGGAATGAGCATGACAGAATGTGCGACAGTCTAGAATGTAAAGTGATTCAGTTCTGCTTATTGATTGTCTTTACAAGTAGATTGTGTATTAGATACAGAGCAACGGTAACGGTAACTAAACAATGCAAGTTGGGAATATATGTTTGTTGGGATATTCAGAAAAATATCTCAAAAGTTATTCTGTTAAGTCTAACGCTATCCTTAGACTTGAGATGGTATCATTTTCCTGTTGGTCGATACTTATTTCACGTGTTATTTTCCTGTTGGCCAAATATTGTACAGATGTTATTTTCTATTTTATGGTACGATGTGGTCTGCTTGATTGGTATATAAACAGAGTATGTATGTATGAAATGTAACAATTCATATCTCAGAGGCTGAGACTTGCGTTCTGGACTAAACTGGCTGGGCTAGACATGAAAGCAGGACTCTAGGTTGTTCTCACGTGTTTTACGCGTCTTTGGTCCGGTCGATAATACGCTGCTCTCCAATCTGCAGTCACAGTTATAACAATGTTCGTCGTATTAATTTTTTCAGTATTTTATTGAGAAGATATTCAAAGCTCTCGACACCAATCCTAATGATTTTTATCTATCAAATATTTGGTAATAAATTTATTTACTTGATAGAGCTTTGTGTAAAATCACTGGTTCGACAAGCATTTCGCAAAGATTGTTACTCATGTGTATCAGAGAGTTTCTATGTCAGGTAGGTGATACGCTGATCGAATCTCGCCTATTAGCTAGCTGACTTATAGAGTAAAGGAATATAGTATCTGTCTGAATATGATATGCAGCAATTATTGTGTAACAAAGGAATGTCCCATGGAAATTGGTTGTTGTTTTTTGTGGAGTCGGGTACTGATGCCCATTCTTCTTATACATGATCACAACCGTCTACGTGTGTGCCTCATTGCTAGGAAGTGAATGGGATTTCTTTGCCAATGATACACACTTCTCATCTGGCTGATTTCTGATTGTTATAATATATCACTAGTCTGTTAACCGAACTTACTCTGCAGTTAACAGAACCAAGTCATTTCATAAGAGCTTGTGGCAAACCTATAATAAAGTCGATTTATTTATGGAAACCTGATGATGCAGATCTCTTAACTGAGCTCTAATGTAACACCTGTTAAAGGTAATAATGGATGTGCTTCTCGTCTTATCCATAATTAGAAATTTATGTCGATCTTTCAGTAATGACAACTAGGCAGGATATTCGCATACGGTAAAATATGAGTACAAATGCACTGGCTTTACAACGGTTTATGCTTTATAAGTTGTACATCCAGCTATTATTGTAGTGTTGTATTGACAGTTCTACATCCCTGTTTTCTTTTTGCATCAAGGAGTGGGTCGCAAACGAGTCTTCATAACAGTTGACGTATACTTCTTTTGTGAGAATTTTACGCAAATAATGTTTTAAGCTGAAAATGTTGGAGTTGTGATTAAATAAAGCACATGATGCGGGCATCTAACCCTTAAACTATACTTGGTCGCGTATATACGCCGGTGAGAAAGTCCTGGTATCGACTTATTAACAAATAGAAATCAGGGAATGGATTAGAATTTCGTAAATTGTCATTGGTTATCTCGCCATGTTTATTTTTGTTTCAAGCTCAAGAATTACATCAGGCTTATTACATATGGATGGAAAAATTCTCGATCGACGTTCCTGACCGTGTAAATTCATTGCGCGCTTAGATTATTCTTACGCATGCTTTCTAAGAGCGTACTTCAATAATGCAACTGAGGAAAGTAGCATCGTATTTATAGATCAACAAACCACGTATATGTGTTACAGTCAGCAAACATCTTAAACTACCGAGGGCTTAATGTCTAAGGCTATTAATGCTACGAACTCGTCCATACTGAACAGTATCCCACAGCTTAACCTCTAACAGGTTAATAACCGAGCCCTAACCTTGCGTACGATACGTGCGTAAGGCAGAATAGCATTCCATTTGTGAACTAAATAATAAATACAACCGAAGTTACCCCATCTCCCTCGGCTATTCATTCTAAAAGCAAATGCGGACCGAAAGTGCCTGTCTCCTCGGACACAAGTAGAGAGACCTGTGAGCATTCCGAAGTCTAGCCTGAGGACAAAGGTAGACAATGAACAGACACGCAGCGCCCTGTTTAAGACCCGGACTTATGGTTCCAATCTTGATATTCCTTGGCTAAAAGTTCGTAGTGTAATTATTACCTAAGAATGTCGTCTGTTTCGCTATTCACTTACGCATGTTCAGTTGCCTATGAAAGTCATAAATTACGCCGAGTTCCATCACCTTTCCACTTACCATCATTTTTGTACGTCTTCCCGTTGATGCGATGTTATGTTACTCAAATCAAAAGACCAGACAAGCAAAATATCCAGTTACTTAGTACGGAACGAACATGAATACCAAGTATCCAATACGAAAATCCCGGTGTTATCTGACAATCATCTTCCAAAATGTGCTTACATCAGTTAGTGGAATATTCCAATGAATTCATGTAAAATGAAGTTTGACTGAAACACTACGTGACTTGATTTCGGAATGGTGAGGATTTGTAGTTCAGTCGAATGATTTACTACGTAACGTTACGGTACTGACCAGTCATATTTACATGCAGTTTACCTCTATCCGATAACTCGATGAGTTTACAATTCATTTATAAACCATCTAACTCACCTACACAAACAGGTACAAAGAATTAAATACTAAACCAAGGATCTGTCTGCAATTGATGTTAGGCATACCTCAGGACGCTGCTGAGAAAATACTTATTTGGCATTAGGAAATATTCCAGTTGCCGAAGCTTTTTAATCCGTAGAGAAAGATCCACTGTCGACAGTTACTATTACAATCGACAAATGGTTTGTCCGCAGTGTAACTAAACATCAAATAACAATTACTATTGTCATGGTGGTTTACGGTTTCAGGTTGTTGTCAACTTCCCCAAACTCCATGTTCTGAGAAAATTGAACCACGCAATTTCACCAAAATAGGGGGTTTGCGTTCATAGGTTCTTCTATGACTGAAAATTTCAGCATGGAGTTCAAACTGTTGGCATATGAAATTTATATTCCGTCCATTACTTATGAGTAGGTTCTTAAGTACAGAAAAAGCGGGCTTGCGTCTGAATTGGTTACATTTCGTGGAAAAATATGTTGTGATTATGAATGAAAAGCTGGTAGTTTTACAACGACCTTTTATTTGGAATACATTAACGTAACCTTCTGGCTTCTCTTTCAGTTTCCAACAAGGTTAAAATATCGCCTTCTCGAATAGGGCCTTTCACGTTTCTTATGATTGTTCTATTAGTATCATCCAGAAATTCCACACGGACCTGTGTACATTGACCCTGAGAACCGGTTCTGCCAACAACCGCTCTCACCTACACCATAAAGTAGACGTATGACTATTGCCGAAACCTACTCTTGCAAGCTTGGTCTGAACGACAGCCTTGTCCATGTTCCCCAGTTGAATTTGTAACAACCAGCTCTATGTAGCTCAACAAACAATCAATAAACAAGGTCAATCGTAGAAACTAAAGCAACGATGCTTTAACTGTAAGGCTTAGAATGAATCTCAGTGAAGCTTCTTCTCTTACATTAACATACTCCTGATTCGAATGGTTCAAGATGTGGTGGATGAAACAGAAGATTTCTGTTAACCAGCTTTCATACGACAAAAAAACAGTGTACATCGATGTCTCCATGTCGGGACCTAGTTATGTGAAGCTGAAAAATTGAAATAATTGTAGATAGTTCAGTACGATCAACCTTTTCAAGCCGTTAATAGCATAGTAAGTTACCTTAAATTTGGTTGAAAATCTTCAGCCGGCAAGCACTTCCAAAAGTTGACGGACCGAATCTAGGTTCGATTATTGTTTCAGTTGCTGCGTTTTCCATCTGAACTCCAGGTATTCCCCCTAAATTGTGTTCTGAAACTGAGCTTACACTGTTTTTATAGATGGTGCCTAGGGATTTTTACGTTGCTACTAGATATCCAAAGATACAAATGGTTCTAGACGGAATAGAAAAACCTTTCGCTTAACGGGCTTCCGTTTATAGTAGCAGTGGGTCAACAATAACTCCGGGCGTTAACCTAAGTATATTAATAATGAAAGAGGAAAAAGAAAAATACGTTCGTAAATCATAGTAAGGTACTGTCCTTAATCCTTATTAACCTGTCAATTTTTTTAAAGGATTCCAGGGAAGTCTCTTCGAATAACTCGATCACCTGTAAATTCCAACACTTTACCACTCTTAAGAAGTATAAGATGTGTCTACACTTTGTTCTGCTGTGTTGTGTCTCTAGTTTCTGTGTGTTATCCCCAAGGTTTGTGCTGGGACTAAGCCTAAGTATATGTTTAAGGAGATCCTGAGAGTTATTTGGGTTGTTGTTAGCTATTAGAAAGTCACCCGTATGACGCCTGAACTAATGATTAAAGGTTTAGGAACTAAAGGCGCTCTTTAAAAGACTTGAATTTGTGTCCCTAAACTGATTTCGTGGCTCACCGCTGGATACGTTCCAGAGTGTCGTTATCATTTTGGAGTGAAGGATGAAAGGTTACGCTTCCGTACTGCGAATGGGAATGAATAAAACTGCCGAAGATTAGGTGAAAAGTTCTTCCATCGAATCGGTCAAAACTACCCTTCAACATTACCAGTGCAAGGTTTACTCGAAATGTATTTTTGTTACAGTTAGCGTAAGAATTTAGATCGTATGGTGCCAACACATTTAGGTTTCTTTCAACTTAGGATACCTCTGAAGGGGGTCTACCTTAATTGTATTTGTATCTTGCAACATGTTTCAGATGGACTACTTTACATATTGAAGCGTAAAAGGCAAGTCCACTGCTGTCCATCCGACTCTGAATTCAAGTTAGAACACTTAGAAGTTCCAGATTATACTATTGGTTGCATAATTCACACAGCGTTTCAGACCCTCGGCGAAAAGTGGTAGATCTGACAATACTTGCTCTGGAAGATCGATCATATTAATCAAGAGAAGAAGAGGTCCTAGTATTGAACTTAATTGGACCTTACTAGGCATTCTAAATTCTAAGGAAAAACGAAATCACTCCTGACATACAGATGACAACATTTTAGGTACAACATGAGTAAATCGAATAAAGGTGATTTGACACCTGATCATTTGAGTTTATTGATAAGACATGTATGGTTGACCCTATGAGTAGTTTTTGAGAAGTTAAGGTATATGACGTCAACCTTCCCCTTGCAATCAGCAGGTTAGTTACACATGAGTGACTTCCTCGAAAACCGTGGTGATGGGGTAAAAAGAATTTTATGGATAGTAAGAATTGTGTACGCAGTGACCGAGAACACTGTTGTAGACAATCGAAAGTATTTGATCACAAAATTAGACAATGTCTCATTAAAATCTGAGGGCCATGCACTAAATACTCCACTTGCAAAATGTCAATCAGTTGTCTCATACTTCACTGTTCTCCCGTTTCTACATTATTCATCCTCTGTTCTCGTTTTCTTTAATTTGATCACCATAATCTTCTGCCTGCATGCATTTCACTTTCGACTGATGATAGATACCATTTATAACTATCGACATCAGCAGTACACACCATAGTGCAGACGGTTACATATAAGGGACTCTATACTTTTCAAGGGCATATTTCGAAGAGCTACCGTTCTGTAGCGTATAAAGCTTAGGAAGTGGAAGAAAACACAAGTACTTATAGGATGGAAACCTCATGGATCTAGGATCATCAAAGCATCATTCAGAACAAAGGAGGAGAGAATTACAATAAATATTATCCAATGTTATGCAACCGTCAATGATAGCAATAACGACGATAAACATCAACTTTACGAGGGCCTGCAACCGATTATAGCGAAATGCCCAGGAAAGGACCTGACCATCGTGATGTGAAATCTAAACGCCAAAGTCGGCATGGACAACAATCGGTATGATGATATCATGGGACGACATGGACTGGTGGGGAGAAAGGAACGAGAAGGGTGAGAGATTCGCAGACTTATATACATTCAACAAAATGCTGATAGGCGGCACAATATTCCCACATAAACACATACAAAATGCTACATGAATCTCACCAGATCACACCACGGATAACCAGATCTATCAAATTTGCATCAGTAAAATATTCAGAAAGTCAATGGAAGACATGCAGAAAAAGAGAGGAGCTGACATAGTTTCAGATCACCCTCTGGTGGTGGCCATGATGAAACTGAAGCTAGAGAATGATTGGACAGCTGGACAAACAACATTACAAAGGTTCAGTAGAGCCTTCCTTCGACATACTGACAAACTGAACGAATTGAAGATGACTCTCGACAGCCGTTTGCAAACCTCACAGGATCTACAGGAAGAAGAAGAAGAAACGATTGTGGAGAACAACTGGAAAGAGATCAGAGAAGCATTAACGTCAACATGTCAGGAGGTGCTGGGTTGCAAGAAGCATCATCATAAGGAATGGATCTCCATGGAAATAGTTAACAAGAAAGGAAGAACAAGAAGAACTAGTATGCACTGTTATTACCAGTTTGTTTGCTTTGATCGAGGCGAAGTCTCAAATTCTGTTAGCATTCTAGACACAAAAAAATCAACAGGACGGAGTAAACTACAACCTGAAATATCGAAACAAATTGCACAAAATATTGCTGTTTCACTGACTACGAAATTTTTTATGCTACCTAGTTGAAGTGAGTTACCTGCGCACTGAAAGTATGAAATTGTCGCTCCTATTCCTAAAACAGGATCAAGACCACTTGCGTCAAACTGTAGACTTGTAAACCTTACCAGTGCAGTATTTAGAATACTGGAAAGAATATTCAGAAGATCACGGTAACATTCGTGAAGACCAAAAGCTTGTTAAAGACCGATTAACTGTTAATGAAGCTGGGAAATCTAAGAGTTGACTGACCTTTCCTCTAGTGCATCAAGGATTTCTTGATAGATCGTAGAAAAAAAGTAAGAGAAAATCTCAAATGCTTCTTCTAGAAATCCGTGCATAACGGAGTATCCCAAGGCTCTGTAAACTATCAAGTGTAGTTGAGTACTCGATGCCATTTTACGCCGACGATGAAATAACAGGGGACGTAAATTTGTGTGCTTCTCAAATGGGCTTAGATGTTCTGGTTAACTGCTTTCAAGAATAGTAGATGCCTGTTAACACCGCCAAGTGCGACTTGAAAATCTAATCCTCTTCAATCTGTCCTGTCGTGGGTTTGTAGGTGATCTGACTTCGATGCACGGAACTCTAAGAAGTTCTTTCAGACACAATATACACAAGCTTTTTCCTCTTACTAAATTAGGATGACCTAGAGGACATGTCACTAGATTTCAAAGGATACTTGAAAAAAACGCACCTGTGTCATTCCTGTTTTCACACTGAGTTATCTAGTGTTGGAATCTGTTGGAGATTGTAAAATAGTCCTAAACGGTTATTCTCGTATACAGAAGGGCAAACAATTGAAATTAATAAATTCTCCGTAAAATCTTTTTTTGGTGTTAATCAACATATGCTCATTGGTGACTGGCTTCAAGATTTGTATCCGAGGGTTCTGGTGACAAGCAGTGGCCAGTGGAATTCAACCAGGTCAGTTGTGAGACGGTAACTCACTAATGACAATAGTGGATGTGTCGCTCAATTTGGTGGATTAGTTGAAGTTAGACATTAGCACTGCTGGATGCCGGCTCAAAGGTCTAGTGGTTAAGTGCTCGCGCGCGAGACCAGTGTGTCATGGCTTCGAATCCCGCGAAGCAGAATCGTGGTTGCACACGGCCCGACCAACAACGATGGCGACGCCGCCAACCTTCTGGCTGAACATTACTCTCAAACATTTCAACCGGCTAACATCAACTTTATTGACGACAGTTTCATCTGCAATTCCACAGGACTTTCTGAAGTGGACCTAAGCGCTGACTTGGTGTTCCGGAAATTGCAGCACTTAAGACTTGACACTTCTCCTGGCCCGGATATAGTTCATCCTGCCATACTGAGGGAGGAAGCCTCAATCCTGGCAACGCCGCTTAGCGTGATGTTTTCACACTCGCTTAGCCGAGGCAAATTACCGGAAAACCGGAAGTTGGCTCACATCACACCAATTTTCAAAGCTGGCCGATGCAATGAACCTTCAAGTTATCGGCCGGTGGCTCTTCTGTCATTACCTTCAAAACTCATGGAGTCCCTGATATGCGACGGTTTAAATGACTATCTACTGTCCTTAAATTTCTTCTCACCCCAACAGCATGGTTACAGGAAGGGTTACTCTTGTACAACCAACCTGCTGACTGCGGTGGACAGATGGACAAGCATCCTCGATTGCAAGGGAAATGTTGATGTCATTTACCTTGATTTCTCAAAAGCTTTTGATAAGGTTAACCACTTGTGTCTTATCAACAAGCTCAAACGACTGGGTATCAAATCACCTCTAATCGATTGGCTTACTTCATACCTAAAAAATCGACACTTTAAGGTTAGGGTTAATTTCACTTTATCTCAGGCTATGGAATGTCCTAGTGGGGTTCCCCAGGGCTCAGTACTAGGGCCCCTTCTCTTCTTGATCCACATAAATGATCTTCCTCAGCAGGTAACGTCAGAATTATTACTTTTTGCCGACGATGTGAAACTTTGGAGAG